TTTATTTCCATTTAAAGTCACATCCACCTATTAAGGTTATTAGTGACTACAAGATAATATAATACAGTTTATTGCTAGTCATACAATATCTTATATACATCGTTCTACTTCACTATTAATCACTAGTATGATAGAAAGAGGACGTTTTTGTTAACGGGAAAATAAGAATATAAAATTGATAATAATAATAGTAGGATTTTTTAATTAAATCGAATTTTTTAATGTCTCTTAAAAATCCTAATATATTAGAGAACGATTTTTTGGTTTTGAAATAGTTCGAGTAGTCCTGAGGTAGATGGTGTTTTCTTCTTTCTTCGTGAAGTTCCGGGCAGTCGAACAGAAGGTGTCTTACGAAGAGAGTTGTAGCACAATTTTCGCATATCCTTGGAACGTCCTTAATAATTAAGTGGACGTGGGTCAGATTTATGTTTTCGATTTTGATTTGAAATTCACTGATACCTATCCTTGCCTTTGAGAAAATGACGAGTACAGTTCTTGTTCTCGAAAATCGAAAGCCCGGCTCCTTAGTGAGTTGAACTAATTGGTTGACTGTGTTTTGTAATAGCTGAACTATCATTTTTGTATTTTTACCTGCTACGAAGATCGTACAATCGTCTGCAAATAGAGAGTATTTGACGGGTTTTCGAATGTTAATTCAGACAAGATGTTTTTCACTTTTACTCTAATAAATCTTTTGTTTAGGAAGTTAGCTATAAAGTGGATCATTTTAAGATCAATCATAAACTTAATTACACATTTTTTCCAAATCATGTCATAAGCTTTTTTAATATCTAGACGTAAGACTGCTAGGTATTTATTATTTGCGAAGGTTTCGCAAATATTGGATTCGAGAGCTATCAGTACACCACTAGTAGATCTATAGTGTCTGAAGCCATGTAGATTTATTGGTATTAAATTATTTTATTCTAGATACTATCTTAGCCTTTTGTTGATTATTTTTACCAATATTTTACATAGGCAACACGTATGGGCTATTGGTCTATAGCTCTCCGTACTGCACTTGTTTTTTCCGGCTTTTGGTTCCTATTATTGCTTCCTGCCATATTTTCGGAAAGGTATTTTTTGTCCGCATCAGATTGTACAATTTATTTAAGTATTCGAGTGCAGTTTGCGGCAACTGTTTAATAAAAATGTCAGGTATTTTATCAGGGTCAGAGCTTGAATTTTTATAGTCTTTTAGTACTTTTCTTATTTCTGTTAGTGATATTTTGCTATTTAAACTTCAAAATTCCGAAGTCATTTCTATGTGGTCAAGGTGAATATTTATTCTTTCTTCTGCTTGTTTGAATCTTAGAAATTCGGGATCAAAATTTACGTCGCTTGAATTTTTTGAAAAGGCTTTAGCTAGTAAGTAGGCCATTTCTTTGCTGTCGTTTGTTATCGAGTTATCATCTTCGGTTAAGGCATTTATTTTATTTAGGTTGTGCTTGCCGCTATTTAATTTATTGTTTTTCAAATTACATCGGTTGGTGAGCAGTTACTCAGACTGGAGATAAATTCGATCCAAGCTTTTCGTTTGGTTGTTTTTATTATTTTACGTGTGTTAGCTCTCCTTAGTTTGTAGTTCACTTGATTATTATATGTTGCCTGTTTTTTGAATCTGTTAAATGCGTGTTTTGATTCCCTATCATCATCCCGATCATTTAGGTAAATATATAATTGATGCCGAAAAATCATGACGTGAACATAACCGTCACCAATGCCGGCTTTTAGATACAATACTGCAGAGCCCCTTCTGATGTCTTGTTTGTCAAGAATACTTTCAAGTATATAGTGTGGAATCGATGGGCAAACATTTGATAGTATAATGCGCTGTGACGCGTGAGCAGTAGACGTACCTTGTGAACTTGTTTTTGAATGAATACACGATTATGTTTGTTTACAGTTTCTTCAGCGAGCTCCTTATTGGCTAAAAAATACACACTCTGTTGTTGGAAATTCTTGAGGCAAACTTGATATTATCAGGTGAAACGATTGTACATATGGCTCGTACGTATTCTTTTAACTGTACTCCGTCTTTTGATTCAATAACGATGGCTCGGTCTCTACTGGCAAATTGATCTTTTTGTGTTGCTACTGAGTATGTTAGTACTTGGTTGATTTGAATGAGGTTATTAGTGGTTCCTTCAGTTTGATGAGCTTCGGTACCAGAAGCCATCTCGGAGAGGGTGCCGTTCATAATTGAATGCTGCACCATGGTGCAGTCGAAAACGGTCTGTTAATGAACGGTCGGTTTAATGAACTCGCGAGCACTAGTTTCACTAACTTGACACTGAAATTCAAACGGTAGCCGCATTAGAATAACATGTAGTACTCGAAGCTGTGAGATGTCGATCACAACGAACACGTCCGACCTCTTCGGAGGTTAGACCTAGACTCGCAAAACAATTATTTCAATTTTACCTTTTAATTATCTTTAAGTAGAACCTGGAAATTTAAATAATTTAAAGGCTTTTGAAAGAAACATCAAATAAACAAACGTCGCAAAAATCAATATATAATTATTGCAGTTTTTGATAAAATATTATAAATGAAATAAGAAATCTTGTTAAAATTATAAATAGATACGTCCTATAAAAAGCTTAATCGATTAGCCTCACTTTGATCAAGTTTCCGTGAATAACACTTCCTCAATTCAACGGTGACCAATTAAATATTAATGGAAATCTACCAAGACTCACTAATCAGACTACCTCATATCAATCGGCATGTAAGTATTATCAAGAACATGAAAGGAACGTAAATCCTGAATAGATTTCCATAAAATGAAAACAATAACACGCGAAACTGAGACATTTAAAAACCGAAACCTTGCTCCTCGAGAACACGGCATTCACATGTCAATAGACCACCATGGAGTCAGGCTTTCTCTCATCCTTTTTTCCTCGACCGTATACGAATTTTAACTTCAAAGAACTGTTGTACTCGAAATGTCATTAAAAGTACAAGGTAACATTACTTCATCAAGAGTGTATACGTTTTTAGTGTTAAAAATAATCGCGCTTGTGTTATGGAGCGTTTTTAAGCTAATTAAATTTTTCCCTGTGTTTATTAATTTTAATTATTCTCATCTAAATATCATTCATTATATATGTCAACGCTAAGTAGTTTCGACATAAAATAAATAAAACAGAAATGTTTGGAATATAAATTTGCAGTTTCTTTTATCATGATTCTTTTTTACGCTAATTATTTTATCAGGAATACAACCAAACCACCTTTCGATATTTTTCGGACAATAGATTATATTTTATGCAAAAAATTTTAAAAGAACTCAGTAGTGAATTCCTTCAAATTGACGCTTTGATGTACTTTTATTTATTTTCCTTTTCTAAAAATTGATTTGGCAAATCCATAAACTTTGCAAATTTTATATGTAATCCAATATTTTCATTGAGTGAAACAATAGTATCTTGATTTTTCTATTAAGTAAAGAAAGAATAGAAGCTTAAGTAATATGATATTTAAAATACACATAATTTATCTTACCGCTCTTTTCCTCCTCCTTAGGTGACTTGAGGACTGTCACAGTAAAGTTTACTTGGAAAATAAAGCTGGTTTTGGTGTAACTCATCATTAAGTTTCTATATTAGCCATGAGATTAAAAGAACTTGTCAGAGGAAGTACAACTTCTTTGTAATTCTTATCGTCTTCATTAGCATTTACATAAGCTGTTGACAACATGGAACTTGTATATGGAGTGGACGACGTTCCTCCCTACAAGAAATAATTTTTTTTTATTTTATAGGTTCTAATATAAAACAGTGAAATTACAGGATACTGATATGAATTCACTTTTGCTTGACAGTCATTATTGAATCTTGTAAATATCATTCGACCTATTTGTCTGGGTATAAAAAGACCTCGTGGTGCATTACTATGTTCTGTATAATTAGAAATAATGTCGCATACAACAGACACGTAAACGAACTGCCGATAACGCGGTTGATCTGCGGTCGTTGCGTACATATAAACTTGAATAACAAAATCCAAGATTATCTTGAATACTGATCTGAAATATTTTGAAAATTCTTACGAGATAGTAAACTTTAGTCGTTATTGAAGTGAGCCATGGCCCAAGTTTGATGCCGAACCAGTGTCGGAACTATTATCTTGCACTGCATTTATAAAATCATTTTTGCGTTTGAAATTGAAAACTGAATTTTGAAATTGAAAACAAAAATTGAAACTTTGTTCAAAATACACTAGAAAGATTTAATTGAAATAAATTATCTTCATACAATCACATACAATAAATATTTAAGTGACTTTAACATTATGGTACTGTGAGTATTTTCTAATGAACCAAAAATAAAATGATATGTAATAATTATTAAAAAAACACTTATAATTAATATGTTGTAATAAATTAATAAAATTTAATTGAATTGAATAAGACTCTTTTTGATATGTCATTCATAACTCTTCTTTTTAATCATTGTATTTCCAGGTTTTCCATGTCAATTATTTCTCAAGTATTGTATGATTTTATAAAATTGAAAAATGTAGTATTTAATATTCAGCAATAGAGTAGATACGCCAAACAATAAAATAAGGCCATTGACGGTTGAAACAATTGCATCCAATACCTTTTCAAATTAAAGTAATTTTTACTAAACATTCACTAAAATAAGCAAAATTCATGCTTCAAAGAGTGTTATTTTATATAGATGTGACATTTTTTAATAGACTTATATGATTAGTAATCAATTAGGAATTATGAAGCATATTTTCGAAACTGTGAATAGTGTAAATTAAAGAAACTCGATTTTTAGCTTAAATATTTTGTTTTGATTGCAACATAACAAGTAATCAAACATACGCACAAGATACGAATTAATTGTCAGATAGATAAAAAGGTTTTCAATAATAAAAATGAAAAGTAAAACTTGAAAAAATGTGTCTAATATTAGTATCAGAAATGACATTTTTTTTAAATAGAAAAGCATGCGATCTAATCAGATCATATGTAAAATATTATTTGAACTTTATTAAATATTAAAAAAGAAATTATAAATATAAATGTAAAAGATATACAGTTTTAATTACATTAATTATAATTTCTATTTTTTAAATAACTTCTGAACATTTGTCAATAATATTTCTCGACTGCTCGTATCCATATTCTTTCTCATTTTATTCTATTCAGCTTTTCCGAAAATTGATTCGACAAATTTATAAACTTTACAGATTCGCCATATAATCCAATATTTCCATTTTTTATTTAAACAATAATAGCCTAATTTTCCTATGAATAAAGAAAAGAAAGAACAATAGCTTTAATACTATATACCATAACTGATATTTTTACTCTTATTGCACTGCTGTTACCTTCAGATTCCTTAGATGAATCAAGGGCTTCAACAGTAAAATTTACTTGAAATACGTAACTGATATCTTCATGAAAAGTATCTTGAGAAGTAATTATATTAACCATAAGGTCAAAAGGTAACGTCACAGGGAGTGGAGCACCTTTGTAATTTTTGTCATTTTCATCAGCATTTACATAAGCTGTTGAGAGCATAGGACTAGAGAATGAAGTATCTGATCTTCCCCCCTATAAAAATTTATTTTGGATTTACTAAATTTCAATAATATAGCATGCCTATGTTTCATTGCCTAAATTATATTCTAGAACACTAAGCATTTTCTATTTCATGTTGTAAAATTTTTATCTGATATTCAGTGTCCATGCTGTTCTATAACAAATTTTCTAATAGATAATTAAAAAAAAATTGTAAAATGTCGCTAAACTGAAAGTTTAACTTTTCCCGTACAATGCTCAATTTACATTGATGCATTCCTAATTACTATGCGATGCTATATGCAAATACTCCACTTTTTAATGAAGCATTCTCATACTGCGTTTTGTACATATCATATATGATCTACGGAATAGAACCTGTAGCATTTTTAATTTTATCGAATAGATAATATTATAATCAAGAGTTAATTACAAGAGAAAATAGAGAAACTTTTACAGGCTTCGAAAGCATACTTTTAATATGTCGAAACGTATATGCCTAAAGAGATGGACTACTTAATTTTTGGTCGAACTCGATAGAATCTTAGTCCACTTAGCTTATTTGTTTTTCTTTTCTTTTATATATTCTTATAAGAATAAAAGCTCAGTTCGTCATTTATGATTTAGACAATTAAAAAAAATAAATAAATAGGCAATCATGCATATAAAAATATTTTAAGTCAATTTAGAATATACCTCTGGTTGACACTTATTATCAATGCCTGTGAAGATCATACGAATAATCTGCCTAGGTATGAAAAAGTCAGCTGGTAAATTACTGAGCGAAGTGTCGTTCGAAATGCATTTGCATAAAGAGCATGCAAAAACATATTGCCGAAAATTCGGTTGCCTCGGTGTTCTCCCATATATGAAAGCCTACATTATAAAATTTATATGTAAATTTTAATAACAATCTAAAATATTTAGAAAATACTTACATAATAGCCGTAAACAGATCTAAAATAAGGCCCAAATTTGACCGCGAAACCACTAGAAGAACTATTATCTCTCTCAACGGATAAACGTGGATCGTCACGTCCATTTTTTGCATTTATTAGTTTAGCAATTGCATTATTAGAACGCACGGTAGTTTCCTCTTTCAAGAATAATATAATAAAAAATTACAGCAGATTAAAATATAATTTATTAACTAATAATATTAGGGACTTGCTGCTCAATATTACATTATTTTATACATTTTTCATATTTTTAATATATGTATTTTTCACATCATTTCTCTTTATTGAAAAATTAAATATTTAAATATTTATCAAATAGTTTTTAGTTTGTCGTTAATGAAAGTATAAATAAATAAGTCAATTCTAAATTGTGTTAAAGTTATTAAATTATATTGATCATTATTTTATTTTATTTTCGGATATTCACATCTTTCTTAATTTTATAGTATCCGTGAAATAGATCATAATAATATATATAAAAATTCTATATATAATGGAAATTATAAAATTAAGAAAGATATGAACTCTGTAATAATGGATATTTTACAGTATTCTTTGACTTAACCCCTCATTTATATTTACTAAATAAATCATAAATAACTCTTATGCATTACCGCTTTCATCAATGTCACTAATACCGTCAGCATCGTTTTTTGTATCAGCATCAACCTACAATGAAGTCTATACGATTAGCAGTAATAAAAAAGTTCACTTATTGAAGAATTTGTAAAACACTATCTTTTTGTATGTTATTACAAATTTGAAAAGATATCTTCTATTAAAAAAGGATCTCTCTCTATGACATATGATAATATCTTTCCGCACTTAAAATCATCAGTTTTAAAAATTAGGAATAGAAACTTATGAATAAAGTTTAAGACATGTTATATTTTTTTAAATAAATACAATGTATTCAACTATGAATTCACAACCAGCAAAGTTCAATATTCAAATTATTTTCAATTATTGAGCATCGATGGTATGAAATGTATTTTTCTGGCAAGTTGCAAAGGCACTGTAGACCATAATAAGCCCTTGGCCTAACGTCGTTCGATAGCATCGATGTTTCATCATCGTATTAATTCAGATTTTGAACTTCGCGAGTAACGAAATCATGTACGGGCAGAATACTTGAAAAATCGATGTAATTATATATTAGTTTTCTTCATATACATATTAAAATATTCTAAGATATTTTCTACATTTAAATATTATGCTATGAAGTAATATTTGCGTAAGTAAACATGAGTTATACTTATCCAGTCTTTCATCTATTCAAATATTGAAAAGGTATATTTATAACAATTAAGCTCAATAATACGAAAAAGTATACCGTGCTCGTTTGCAATAAACAGAAAATGAAGTAAGCAGCATATATAATTGTTTTCTTCATCTTGTATGTTAATTTATAGGAAGCCAATGGTACACTGAGTAAAGCTTAATTTGTTGAATAAAATTCTGTACCAAAACGCGGCTATCAGTCCTTAAGTAAAATAACCTTGAATTACTTCGATAAAGAAAAGCTATTTGCAATCATTTGCGGAACTAACTTTTTTAAGGAATGTGAAGTTTCTATTATTATGCCTGCTCACCTTAGTCCATTAATTATATATAGTGTTTATATACAGCACTCTAGAATAAACGCAAATTATAATTAAGATAAGAGATTATCATAATTATTACGGCACTTCATAATTATGTTTGTTATTGAAGATGATGAATATTCTCATTGCTATTTGTATAATTCATCATAGATTCTGTCGATGCTAGAAAAATATTTAATTTTATATTTTTTTTTAAATAGATCAATTTTCTAATAAATCAAAGCGAAAATTTGTATGACCTAGATATACGTATAACAATTGTCGTGATGTATATTACTGGATAAATGACACTTGATTTCGGGAATAATATTTATTAAAATAATTTGTCAAGCAGATATTGGTAAGCGTTTTTTCTTAATACATGTAAAGATATTCTATTTGATTTTTATATAATTACATATAATATATTATAAATTTTCTTGTAAATTATAATACGATAAGTTTTTTCTAGAATATAAAAAAGAAAACTATTTAAAAAAATGATAGAAAGAATAACAATGCAATTGAACATTTTTAAATTAATCAAATAGTGTAAACTTCTGCTACTCTTCTTTACAACCTTTGAAATTCTATGGCTTCCATTTCTAAGTTTAATTTTTATTTATTTCCTAAGTATTGTGTTATTTTGTAGACTTAAAATAAATGTAAAATTCGTTTCCCAGCCCCAAAGATAATAGATTCAATAAATTCAGCGATAGTACAAATACGCCAAACAATAAAATAGTTCCACTGACGATTGAAACAATTGTATCCAGTACCTATTTAAATTAAGTGAAATATGATTAATTTATTGAAATCATTCTGCTAAAAATTACTTAACTTACCAGGAGGGTTACCGACAATTAGTTTTACTTGAAAAAAGTAATTATTTTCTAAATCGTCTCGTAAATCTTGTGACAAAATATTCACGTACAATTCAAAATAGCTAGAGTTTGGAAATTTAATTTTTGGATTGTTGTATTCAGCTATGTTCACATTTGCCGAGGGCATTATTGACTTTGTACCTTCCTGAAAATCAAGTTTTGTTGTGACGTTTCTTTTACATTTAACTGCGTAAACTTGAAAAAGTTATCACATGAGAAAACATATATCGGTTAGATAATAGAACATTTTTTATAGAGCTATTGAGATGAATTTTATATAATGAATAATTAAATGTTTGTTAAATAATTAATATTGATGAAAACATTAAAAATATCTACTGACAATTTTTTCAACTAAGACATTATAAGCTAACACTATTTTACCAATATAAATTTAATCTTGGAGTATTTGTAATAACTACCGTCAAATTACAGCTTCCTTGGCGTCCTGGAAATATCAGATTTATTACATCTCTAGGCAAATTGTTCTGTTGTGGAAATTGATCGAATCTTGAGTCGGAGATAAGCAAATCACACAGGAAGGTACCGAAGAACGTATGAACTTTACCATATTTATCTCCTGTTGTTTTACTATTATCAAACATATACACCTAGAAAATAAATGTGCTTAATTCATTCGTAAATGTCTTTTATTTTGAAAGACGCGGAAAAACCTTATATGGTTTAAAGATTGCCTTATAATTGAAATTTCTTTTATCCCTTTCAAACAATTGTTGAATATCTGCACTGTTCCTATAATTTTTCATGTAAATTAAATACTCACGAGAAACTTCGTATCAATTTTGTAACGATTGAAATTCTGTTTCACTTCAACTGCCCATCCAGTGGGTGAACAACTGTCCTTAACAGCAGCAAAGTAAGAATTATTTATACCATTTTTTACGTCTACCACTCGGGCAGGTGCAAATTTTATTAGTTTATTTTCTTGTTGCTGTGAACAATGCATAATCAAATAACAATAGCATTCATAATAAAAATTATAATTAATATATAAGACTATAAAATACTAACACTACTTAAACCTATAAAAAGCAATCCAGTATAAATAAAAAGTATTAAATGTTCCATTTGAAATAGTAGTCGCGCAAATGTCAACTATGAACAAAATAAATGGAAAATTGAAGTGCCTTGATATTGCATATTACATATTGTCTATCCGATAACATCAAGGAAGTCATATTCCTTAACTATTTAGGAAGCCACTACTCAAGCATTATCTACTCGCATTGGATAATTTGTAAAAAAACTGATAAAATATGAAGTTTACAATTTTTACATTTAGAAATATTTCGATTCCCACTCAACTAAGCACTTTGTAAATATAATGATATTAAATAGAAACCAAGTTTAGTTTAGCAATATATTTCTAAACAAAGAGCTGCAAGCAATATTGAGATAATTAACTATCAGTACATATAACTATCATTGTATCATATGGATATGAAACAATGTTACATGTATTTATTTTATAGCAAAAAATACAAAAATGTCATCATCGCTTTCATATCAATGATAATATCCCCCAAATATATAGATTTATAAAGTTGGTATAATAAATTGGAAAAAATGAATCTTGCTAAAGCTCTGTCACACACTGTGCACAAATGTGATGATATATACACTAGGGTAAATGAGCGTGAAAATATGTCGACGCAACTGGCGTACAAAATTTGTCCTGATTCACGAACTACAACCACTGTAAATAATGCCACAGCTGGTCGCGATTGCGAATAATTATTCAATATTTCATCAGCATGTCGCTTACTTTTTTATCTTCACTTGGTAAATCAAAGGGATAAACAAATATCTGTTAAAGCGACGGAAAGAAATAAAATTTAGAACTCTAAAGAAAGACAAAGAGTTCTGGATTGGACTAGTTATTAACTATTAGCTTAAAACTATCTATTCTTCAATATTTAGAAAAAACACGAAAAGATGATACTTTTAATGAGTACATAATTCTTTAAAAATAAATTTAAAAATTGACAGACTCAATTTTCTAACTCATGGCCTATACGAGTCTGACGGCTTGACCACTAGACCATTGCTGATTTAACTTTTATTCGTTTGTATATGGTTACTGAAGATGGGCTTTTTCCGTCATATTCATTGCAGTTGATACTTCATGTAGAACACGTCCGTACAATATGCGTCAATATAATTAAATACAAACTTAAAATTAAGCTAATTAATGGTAATCGATACTAACTTGAAATGAAATCCTTTTTCTTTTCCTATTGAAAGAACCACTTCGCGGCAATTTTTGTTCTATACATAAGCTATAGAAAAGTTTGTTGAATGTCTGTCTATTTGCGTGATAGCAATTCATAGTTAATTAGTAAAAGCTTTGTGTTCTGATGCCCGCATCTCTGTAAATGATCATCGCCAGTCACACGTGTAAGTTATGGTTTGTCTACTAGGGATTTGAAATGAATGCAAATAACAAATATTATTAAATATTAATAAGACATTCAAACGTATGGATAATTTAATGGAATAAATGTTCAAACAATGCTGTATCCTAAAAAGAGCGATCTTTTGTTAGTATAAAACTTTCGAAATTATATTATCATATTTTAAAAACTTATCCAATAAAAATTTTATACCGGTCGAAACATAATTCTAGAAACTATTCTCGTATTATTACTTTGCGAAAAATTTCAATAACCATTCTGCAGAAACAACTTTCTTTCATCATCTCTCTTGCCACTCTAAGCTGCTTAAATTCAATTAGCCTCACGCAGATACAATTCAATAAACATCGATTTTTATGACATCGTCCGCTAGCATTCGCCGGAAATGAAATGTTATTGGAAAAGAAGATGAAACAGAGCGAATGTTTGAAGAAGCCGTCGGCGTGAGAATTGTAAGCGCCTCCGTGCATAAATTTAGTCACACGCGTTAGATCGTTTCGTGGGCGGACGCGGCCATAATTCGTCTTGTCAGACTGAGAGTAATGGTTGTCCGTTTGTAAAGACGTTCCTATTACATTATACTCGACGCTTCTGTTTATATTATAATCGCAGAAAAAACAGTTTCACAAATGATTTCTTTCCTTGCTTTTCTTAAATTATTCTACAATATCTTGCAGAAGTATTCACCGCTCGATTTCATGTTTACAAAACTACGCTCCAATTTTTAATGTTCAACGTTTCATATCCTGTAAACATTTGTCTTAAAGAAAGCAACACATTCATATAGATTTTTCCAAATGAAAAAAAAAATTCATAGTAATAATTCAAATATCAACGTTTTTTTAAAGTCGAAAGAAGAAAAAAATAACATGACTAGGCAGGTAATGTACCGCGTTGAAAAGGCCTGCGGGCAAAAGGAACAGCGAGCGTGCCGAGTTGTAGCAGAACGGGAAAAAAGAAGACGGCGTATAATACTAAATGAGAAAAAAAGAAACAAAAACGAAAGAAAGAAACTCACGTGGACGGTGTATTGTGCCTTGGGTAACTGTTGTGCAGCTGATGAGACCACACTCTCACCGGCTTGTTACTTGGCTTTTAAAGATTTTGTTGTCTATTCTTCTTGGTGCGAAATGTTGACATGTTTTTTTTTACTTTTGACCGCGCTTCAGCTGTTGCGTTGAGTTTTACGTAGATCATCTTTCTATCACTTTTTTTATGTGTTTAACTTTAAAGTATAAATGTTTAAAATTAAAATGTTTCTAAAATGTCTGTAAAGTATTTGGTAATGTTAAAAAAAAATTGAAATTGTACTTATTATGTATTTAGTTTGTTAAAAAATAATAATTTTAATAATTCACTGTCCGGAAAGATGATATCGATTATTGTTTATGCAATGCAATTTACATGTGGGTCATATTTTTCATTGTTCATTAATTTTCTAAAAAAATGTATAGTTGATCGCAAAGAAGCAATACGACACTGTTATATTTCGGGCCGTCGTCACTAATCGAATGCGAAGAACCAAAGATAGAAGCATTGCCCTGAACAGATAATTGAATCACTGTTATTTAGTTAGTCGTCGCTTATCATTCAGTGAAGTCACAAGGGTTATAGTTCATAGGTACAAATCTTTTATAATTTTGTTTTACTTATTTTGCGCATTGAGTTCAAGAATTTGTTACAATACTATTTCAAAGATAAATATTGAGACATTTGTGCCTTTAATTTAATTGACTAGAAGTACATAAAACTTGAATCGTAAAAATTGAAAAAATATCCCACCACCCTCAACCTGTTTAATTTACAATAATACTGTATGAAGAGAAAATATGTTGTATTTGTACTGTTGAAAATGTATAGTATTACCTATTTGTATATATAAAAGCTTTCGACATGACTCGTTAAAAATGATTTGTATTTGAGAATAAATACGCGATTCAATTAAAATACAATTAAACTTCGCATGCCGTTTGCTCTACGCCGACTCGTTCGTGCACAAAAGTAAGCATAAAGAAGACGCATGAAAGAGCTGAAAAAGAAAGCGCAAGGTAGCAAAAGAATTTCGTTCTGCAAGTATGTGCTACTACAATGCAGTTCTTATGTTGCGCACGTAATGTGGCAACAGTCCGCTTGAAAGCATGCAAAAGGCTTTTATCTGAGAGACGCAAAACATTGTTATCATGCGCGCTCACAGCTCTTGGGCGTAAAAATATAATGAAAGAACTGTACGTCCGGGAGAAGGAGCATGAGACAGACAGTTTAATGAATGTTATGAGGTTATTTTCGTGATATATTTTCACGGAATTATGATATGCTACGAATATTTGATTGACTGGGCAATTCTTTTTACTTAGGTTTTTTCTATTTGATCGAGATAATAAAGTAATCAAGTGGACTCTACTGAATAAAATAAAAAAGGATATTTATTTATTTTTAGGCCACTTGATCTGTATAAATTATCATTAAAAATAATTTATATTGTTCAATATTTTGATTCGAAAAGGATGACATAATAATATATCAAAACATTGTCAACTTAATAAATCGTATGAAAATTCTTATCTACTTTTTATATATTTGATCCAATTCGTTCAATCACCATCCTGATCAATTAAATAATATTTTCTTGGTTGAGAAGAATAAAATATAAATAATTGAAATTAATACAAATTATATAAATGAAATTACGCCGGGAAGTCAAAAGTTATCCTAGAATAGATAATTGGCAACAAGTAGAGCTCAGGAAGTATTCACTCCTCTTTGTCCCACCCTGATTCTCACTCTCTCTCTCTCTCTCTCTCTCTCTCTCTCTCTCTCTCTCTCTCTCTCTCTCTCTCTCTCTCTCTCTCTCTCTCTCTCTCTCTCTCTCTCTCTCTCTCAAGTCTGTGTGACTGTAGTTACAGAAAAGCTATCCCAAACTCTAACCAGTATGGCCCTCAGCACGATCACGTAACGCTGGATGGCTCACGTCTGGAGCACAATCGCGCAAAGCGACGCGGGAATTTCAATTTCCCTCAGAATATTCCACCTCGCGACTTAAGGTACCGCCCGCGCTCACGAAGCAAACGGACATCCGACCAACTGGTTGCGGCAACATCCCCGAGCCTTCTTTTGTCTGCTCTCTCTCTCTCTCTCTCTCTCTCTCTCTCTCTCTCTCTCTCTCTCTCTCTCTCTCTCGCTCTCTTTTGGTTTCTAGCTTTCCATTTAGGGATGTGCTGTGCTCCGCGGATTTTCTTGCTGGATCGTATGTGTTGGGAAATGAAGAAATTGTAGGGGTACAACTTCGCTATGTATGCAATGAATTCCACAAGCAGGTTTTTTCCAAAGGCAGCTCGTTGCGTTGAAATTATTAAATAATCCAACCAAAAGCTGTAATTGAAAATACATAACTTTTCTAACTAAGCTATGCTTGCTATGCTTATTTCTTATTTATATCTATTCGCAGAAAAGAAAATTATTAAAAATAAATAATGAGTTCATCATACAAACATTTTTTACTAGAAACTACGTATATAAGAACGTAACAGAATACCGCATAATCAAACTCGAAAAAATATACCGTATTAAAATGAAAACAGCGCGAATACTTACATTCCAGATGACTAAAAATTGAAAATTTTGCCTGAAATTATCCGTAAGAGGTACGTATACATCTAGCTGGCTTTAGCGATCGCGCAGGAAAATAGAAAACATAAACCCGTTGGTGCTTACTCTGTCTGGGAA